TATCCTGTGATATTGGCCAATGGACGTTGCAAACTTCAATTTGTATATAAAATCTTGAACTTCATCCACATTATGTATTATTTACAAGGCAGCTAAATTCATGTGCAACATGTACATTGAGCTGCAAAAGTTTCTTATCATCTACATCCAATGTCACCTGGATAGATGCACGCTTGATAAAGCTAGTTTGTCTAGCGAAATATTGTGTTTTTTTATCGTTTTGTAAATATTTTAAACATTCTAATATTTACATACTAAATAGTGTGTTAAAATTGTTTCCTTTGCCACTAGAAACGGTAAGGTTGCTTTGGTCACTTTCAGTTATCATTGCTAATGCAAATTATTTACATTCCTTTACGACCATTTCATGGAGGAAGCCTGATCTATACCCAGAGAGAACAAACGACCATGAAAACTTGCAATCATAGTCCGTTAAGACCGGCGCCGAACACACTTTGCTGGAACATGTCCTGTAAAAGGTGCACAGCTCCATCTCCTGTGGAAGAAATTATGCTAGTTAGGGGGAATTGTTTAAGCGATATGCATTTTCAAAGAGTTGAAGATTTACCAAAGTAATCACAAATTGCTTAGTCCTTTTCCGGAGATCGGAAACCCCAAATATTACTGAGGTAAAACCAACCAAAATAGCTCATCCATTACTTCATATTATTTAGGAGAATATGTGTAAGTTTGGCTGGATTAAAAGGCTGTGTTTGGATCTACGTCTAAGGTAGCCTCTGGTTGCCAATAGGTACCCATGGGTACCCATGGTTTGATATTTTGTTATATAAAATATCAAACCATAGTTACCCAATGGTACCTATGGTTAACCAGAGGCTGCCTTAGGCATATATCCAAACACAGCCATAGTTACGAATAAACAGAGTGTGAATCGACCAATGGCACAAGGCGATCGAAGTGATCCATGTGTTGGTTTCCACTGGACCTTGTTAGACAACACAAATTAAGATATGCCCACATTAAAACACAGAAAATATTAGGACTAGCGCTTAAAAACAGAACCATAGAAAAATTCATAAAGTTATAAAGGGCAACACCAGAAGGAGTAATCATATCCGCCCGATAAAGTAATTTTTAGTAATGTTATTTTCCTTTTTAAATGATCAGCAAATAGCAACAGCAATAGCAATTTCAGAAAACAGTAAAACAATTTGAGGTCATAATTTACTTTTGATCTAGGAGGAACAGAGATCAAGCGATAAAAATAAGTATTCGAGAGAAAAAAATATGCCCTAGAATAAGAGAATTATTGGTATAACTTAAAATTGCCTTTATATGACTATTATAACCTCGTATATCTGTTTTGATTATCCTGCACAACACCTTAAACAATCTATAGTATGTTTAGCATTGTAGTTCATATGACTGTTGCTTTGTTTTAGGTTGAGAAGATAATATCATCCCATCAGGATCCAAATTTGGAATCAGAAGCGCACCAGTTTATCAAACCATACCTTCCTTGAAAAGGTATTCATATAATTTTCTTGAAATAAGAAGTTTGCATTATCAGCATTTTTTCTAAAAATGATTATCTTTGTGGAATTTAAAGGTATTAAATTGAATTACTTTGTATCCATTTGTCTTAGAATCTGAATCGTTACAGTTTTGAATTACATTAATTCTTCGTGTTCTTATTGTGAATACATTTTCAAATATCCACATGTAATAACACCGGAATAACCCAATGGATAGTCAGTCAGTTGTAACCTATTTTATTACCTTTTGTGTAATCAAATCACAGAAATAAAACGGGAGCGATGAGAGATCAGTTTTTAATTAGATTGTTCTGGCAAGAGACCATTTACCGTGGTCACAATAACAAATGCTTGTAATTGATGTGGATGATTTTGCTTTCAATCCCATGTTCAAGACAAGACTTTTTTTAAAAAGGAATCGGTAATTATATATAAGCTACAAGATATACAAATGCACACAAGATTTAGTCATTCAATACTTTATTTTGATTCTCAAAACAAAAAAACAAAGCACGTAGATAAAAAATCATTTGAAATTAAAAAGACGAACAAAGTATTTTGGTCCTTTTCATTTGTTGACATGGCGTTGTCAGTTCATTTTAGAATCTGAATCGTTACAATTTTTAATTACATTGATTCTTCATGTTCTTATTGTGAATACATTTTCTAATATCCACAAGCAACCACAACGGGTAAACCCAAATGATAGTCAGTCAGTTGTAACCTATTTTGTTACCTTTTCTGTAATCGAATCACAGAAATAAGGCGTATTGTATTGTTCGCTATACGCCCGTTTCGTCTCCACAAGGCTAAAAAGGGGGACATACGAGCAATGACTTCATGCATATTGATTTTAAATTCTGAAGTGTTGAATTAAATAAAATATGCATTTGATTTAAAGCTTCGACCGAGCGAATGGCTTTGCAATTAAAAATATGTTGCTATTTTTCAATATAATTCATTAATCAAATTCTTGTTACACACTATCCTTTTGTTGCTGATATAAATTTATTTTCAAATTGCAGGAATGTTTTCAAACGACAGTTTAGACAAAATGCCGTTTGCAATAGCTGGAGAATGGGAATCAATGGCGAAAAGTCGTGATTTTACAAATGATGAAATCAATAAAATAAAAAATAGTCAACCAGGAGCTGTTAAACAGACCCTTACAATGTTAGATTTGTGGCGATTGTCGGATAGCGCAATACAGAAAGGAACGGATCTTGTGAAAAATGTCCACGAAACAGCCAAGTCAGCACAATGTGGAGCAAAATTGCTAACCATAATATCTAAAAATGTAAATTGAGGGCAGGAAGCATATAACCCAAATACCCCTAAAATATATAGTAGATAGTTATATAAAATCAAACTGCTGCATATGAATGTTTAAAACGATTATTTCTATGATACATGTTAAGTGTTTTAGGTACAGTGACAGTGATAATATCAATTAATAAGTATGGTGTAAGCTATAGTAAACATGTAAAGGAAAATTCAGATATTGGCTTTTGAACGAAATGCATTATTAATTCTAAAAAGATTTATACACTAACCCTACAGATCAAAATCAAACATATTGAACAATTAAACGTAAACAAATACGTTATACAGTACTCAATATCCTTGAAGGTTATTGCACATAAGAAATATAACACTTAGTTTCCATATGATGACGACGACGACTACGACGAGAGGAGAAGGAGGAGGAGGAGAAGGACGACGACGACAACGAAGACACATTAAAAAGGCTCGTCAAGATGTCGGCTTCATAATTGTCTAGACAAGACCAACGTTTGGTCCACATAAGATTCATCAGTGGCGTTTTCATTAAAACAGTTGGACAACCAATTAAAAAAGGAATATAAAAAACATTAACTACAAATTCCGTAAGAACCTCAATGAAGTTTAAAAAAAAATAACCCATTTTTCTACTAAACTGACGACCTGAGTCGGATTGTAACCGTGTTGGTAAATATCAATTTTTAAGTCTATGGATTCACCTGACTAAGATTCCAACCCTGGACTTCTCCCACACGAGGCAATCACGCTATCACGGTAATACTGAGATGTTCAGTGTCGATCATAATTTTCGACAATCTGACATAACAATGTAAAATGAAATTAAAGAAAAATAAGATTTAAAAAAAGATCGTCTCCGTTTTATGGTTGGGTTCATATTGCTATGTTTTGTATGTGGACTATTGTTTGTCTTTTAGCCGTCATTAAACCTGTTAGCAGTGTTGTTCACTTGAGCAGGCCGCAGTGTCCAACCATTACCTGTAGCTACCTTAGCTATTAACGAGCACATTTCAACCTTGCTATCCAAAATAAGTGCCATATTGTGTGTGGACGAATGTGTGTCCTTTTGTTGTCATTAAACCTGTAAGCAGTGTTGTGTACTTGAGCGGCAGTGTCCAACTATTACATGTAGCTACCTTGGCTGTTAACGAGCACATTTCAACTTTGCTATCCAAAATATGTGCCATATTGTGTTCGGAATATTGTTTGTCCTTTGGCCGATATTGAACTTCTCAGCAGTGTTGTTTACTTGAGCGGCAGTGTTCAACCATTACCTTGGCTGTTAACGAGCACATTTCAACCTTGCTATCCAAAATATGTGCCATATTGTGTGTGGACGATTGTTTAGCTTTTAGCGGATATTGAACCTGTTAGCAGTGTTGTGTACTTGAGCGAAAGTGGCCAACCATTACCTGCAGCTACCTTGGCTATTAAAAGCACATGTCATTCTTGCTGTCCAAAATATGTGCAATATTGTACTTCCTTCTTTAAGGAAGTCTTAGCTGCATTGCACATTTTTTTTATTGTAGGTTTTAGTTTATAAAATAACGACATAAGCTTTATGCAGGCTAAGGACACCTGGAATGGGTTAACCAAAATTTATTTAGTACATATACCTATTCAGGATATCTGCAACGTGTGCTGTTCGTTATTTAATGTATTTGTTAATATGTGAGCTATTTTGTCGGAATAGTCTGGTGTTGGTTTGAGATTTTGTCTGTTGTACTGCCTTTTATGTCTTGTGATTCTATGTTTCATAGTCAAGCATCTTGAAACATTTTGTATATAGACTGACTCTTTTTGTAGTTGAGACATAGGGAGAAGAAAACACACGAAGCACGATGTAAGCGTGGTTAACGGTAACAAAAATCAAATTAACACATTGTATCCTTAAACAAACTTTTCAGTGAAATCGTTTTTGGTCAGTGAATACTCACATTATTCATAACAATTCAATAAGAAATTCAGGGTAAACGTGTAAGTAGAAGTGAATGGAACACAACAACGCTCTTTATAAGCGCAAAGTTAAGATAAGATAAACTATTTGAGTAGCTAACTTTATATTTCTACAAATATATAAAAGTCGTGGTTTGTAACAACAGTCAAATTTATAATTATTCATCAAATCAGACAACCCTTCTTTGTTCCTCCGTTGTTAATTTGCTAGCTTTAAAAGTTCCGAATAAAAAACATGCAAGCCTTGGATCCAAGAATAACTTTATTGGTATTCTTAAAAATTACGACAATAACTTTTTTCTTGAAACAAACATGTTTTTGTTTAACTAATACAACAGCAAAAATTAGGTCCACAGTGTGTGTAGAAGCATCCTGCAACTCCATACTTCCATGACACCATAAAAGGTTTGTATGATACATTTTCTTCACCACGTCTTTTGTAAAAGTGAAAAGCATTAACACAACGAGCTGTACTGAAAAAGATTGAATGATATTTTAACACTTAAAAGTTATTTTTTAATGTAAAGTTTCAAACATAACGTACTATACATAACATTGGTCACTCGATGATATGTAAATAAATGTCACGATATGGTTACATTTTATGAACTAAAAATGCAGAAAAATTAAATTCGATTAATCTTAACTAATCATTATCAATGAGTTTTTGTTTTACAAATTACAAATTACTGATTATACCAAATACCTTAATGGTCCTCCAGTATCTGAATATCTATCCATTGTAGCTGTGGCATCTGCACATATACCTTCGCATGTCTTTCCCCCGTGACAATCGCGTGGTATTGCGGATGCATATGCATTATCTTGGGATACACCAATGCAGGCTGACTGTGCCATCTGGTGGTCTGTGCCAACACTTACATTTAGATAACCAAGTGCTACTATTCAAAAAGAAACATTCGTAAATTGAATTCAAATTCGTATTGTGTTGACATAACTTAAATATTGTGGGCACTTTAGGTGATTTATACTATATCCTTACTGGTATCTACATAAATGTATCATTAATGTTATTTTATACTAGATTCATATATAGATACCAGTAATGATTTCTTTTTATTAATTATATATTTTACAATAAAAAAAAAAAAAATAGAAAAAAAACAAAATGAACTGACGGAAATAAATAAAGTTTACTTAATGCGATTTTTTAATTTTTTTCTAATGTAAACGTCTATTTTGTAATGCTACTCTTTCACTTTTTTCTTGATCTTTAAATCCTTCACAAGAAGGTACCAAATCAAAAGTGTTTAAATTAATATGATGTTTTTTTTTCTGTCTGTTACGTTCTTTTTAGAAGTACCCCATTTAAACAGAAGCAATCAAAAACCAAAAAGGGGCAACTGATTAATAAGCATACTATTTATAAATTGGTGGATATATGTTAGACTGCCCAAATTCACGACTCTCTTAATTAAACCTCTAATGTTTTGCTTTAAAACATAAATTGCTACGTAACATGAAATACTTAAATACACATTTATTGTATAAGTCATCAAACACTGAATATGTAATTATTTGTATTGCATTGAACAAATAAAAAACTAAAGAATACCAATTATATATGATACAACTTACCAAATGCAAAAAACAGACAAGAAAGAGCGAAACTCTCCATTTCTGCAAAATTGGAAGCTATTAATTTCTGTATTTGTTCACAAAACCCGTAAAATGCGTTTAATTTATCAAGTTATGATATAAATACGTGACACTAGTGTGGTTAGTAATTGATTGGCCAAATTAGAGAATCAATTTCATTGGCTATCAACGTCACACGACTTGATTTTGTGTACATCCCCATGAGAACTATAACACTAGGGAAACACTCTTTTTTTTAGCGTCTAAATAAGGGCATATTGGATATTGATATATTTTTGTTACTACATGCATGTAATAACATTAAATTTCAACGTGCAATATTGTTACTTGGGATGCCTAACTCATGTTACTAAAGAATTTGGAATGGACAACAAAAGCTGGAATCTCACATTAACCCTATAATATTAACGAATGAGAAGATTTTGAAAATACAAATCATCCTACTCTCTTTTGTTATTGATATGAAAGGACGATTAAACCTGATGACTTTGTAATGGATATATAATCGTCACATTAATAGTTATAACGAACGATGTATAGCCGGGTTGCAGAGATGTTAGATTCAATATATTTTTATAATATATTACTACCATTGAACTTACTTTCAGCAACGGCAAGTATCATCAGCTCGGTACTCTATGTCTAATGTCTTTGTGGGTTTTTATTTTGCTACACTTTGAGCAACTCTTTATAAATTAATTTTACATCCAACTAAGTTTGTTCTTTTGTCGTGTTTTAAACACAGCAGCTCCCTTTTTATGAAGGTTAAAACCCACAAAAATTTTATACTCTGCAAACCTAAGTGCCTGTCCTACGTCAGAAATAGGGGGTAAATATCATTTAAACCCTAACACGAATATACGAAACAGTTTTACGAAGTCATAAACCCTCCCAGTCCTGCTTTAAGTTCTGTATCAGCTATTGATACACCTTATCCTTCGAATTTAAATTTTAAAGAATATTTTCTTAGTTTAAAGCAGACACAAATGACTACTGTATGTGCACTGTTCTTTGGATTGTCTTCTTTTTCTTATAATAAGAGGACGAGAAAAACCTACAACATTAAGGTATAGATACTAAAAGGAACCGTCGCGTCCAATACTAAAAATATGTCACAACCTACATTAATATAATGTCAATTTACAACTTGTAAGTTCAGAAACAACCAAAAATTGCTAAATTTTTGAAAAAATGTCCATTTGTCTTGTTGGTTGGCTCTCATTAAGCCTTCCTGTCGATGGCTCATCGAAAGATCCAGGAAATATGTTATGGTTTTTATTAGACACTTTATGTCTAATTATTTCATCATTTAACAATAATACTTTTAATTGAAATTTACTGACTGTCGGCTATCAAAACATTTTACGCAGAGGATTCCTAGTAAAAAAATTCCGACAGCAAATTTAATCGCACGCAGAATCTACGATTTGCTGTTCATTTGTGTTCGTGATTATTATAAAGGTCTGTGATCTAAAACTGAAAAATAAAATGACTAGTTGACATATTGAAAAATATAAAAGTATAGGAGAAAGACGCTATTCATCTTATAATGAACTATAATCTGTATACAAGGAAGGTCACAACACAAAGGAAATAATAACATGTAATTGCCGAACATACAACGGTATACAATTTCCTGAATTGTTCGTTTTTTAAAATGCGCAGAAGTTAGGTGTGTTCCGTCAATAACAATAATTTTAATGAATGTTTAAAGACATTTAATCTTTAAGCTTACATTAACTATTTGTGTAAATTATTTTTTATTCCTAAAGAGAATAATCTCTAATGTTATACATGTGTGTGAACAACTACATGTAGGAATATATAGATGCACCAGCCTCGCGATAAAAAGCTAAAATTATTTATACTGTCAATCAGCACTTTAGATCAGTTCTGGTTTTTTTTTTAATGTTGTCGTTATGGAATCAGTTGGTTTTTTTTTAATTCTTATTCTTATTTGTAACACAAATATCATTATGACAACTCATAAAGTTCAGAAAACACAAGAAGCATAGACAAGCATAATGCTGATAATTAAAAGACAAATTGTTAATTTCTAGAAGAACTGAATCAACGATAAAATAAGTGTATGATTGCAGTTAAGAAGTTTTTATAAAGCAATTGAAAAGATTGTTGTTGACTTTAGAATTAAAGATTAACACAGGTTTATACTGATAAATAAACAAACATCTATACAAACCATGGTACTTTATAGTTTAACCTATATATTTAGATGTGGATTGATATAATTTTGAAGAAAACAATTATTTACAACCAGCAAGTAAGTGAATAAGTCACAAAAGCACTAGGTTCTAAATTAATTTATTGAACACATTTCACTTCGTGAACTGCACAATATGATAAGGCACCAACCATTCATCTTTTGTTAAGGGTGAATGAGGGTTTTCCGATAGAATACATGACCAAGAATTAGTTTTTAAGGTCGATATTTAATTTTTTTTCTAATTTGAAATGAGAACAAACTTGTTGACCACTTCCTTCTGGTTTGTTTTTTTCTCAAGAAATTCGTAATTAAACAATTTATTTAAAAACATATATCCTTCTTAAAAGATGATTGGTCGGTTCAATAAATGGGGAATGTCAGCAACAGTAGTTAATCCAAATCTATATGGATGCGCTACAAGTTGAAGGTAATTTGACGAAGCAACGTTTGTAGCTGTTACTTTCGCAGTAGGCAATGCATTATGTGTGCATCATGTGTGTCCCAGTCAACATAACAACGACTGAGCAAACTTTAGCGTCCAATGTATCTGTTATCCAGCCATCCGTTAGTCGATTAACACCATAGATTCAGGAGACAAAGAACAGTATCATGAATAAGACGGCACTCGTACCAAAAATTTAGATGGAAATCCTAGATCAAAAACTAAAAATAAGCGAATATAAGAGGCTAAGGAATCTTATCGAAGTAACATGATGAGTTACGTCAGGAACTAGAAAATCTCTACACAGACATAGAATTCGAGTTATGGGGATTACCTACGCCTGTTAACATACTCCATAACATACTCAGAGCACAGAAAACATTGCAACAATCATATGTAAATTATCGTAGACTAACAGATACATATTTAAACTTCTGAAGGGAACCATATAATTTGACAGTATAAAGTATCATTGGACAAAAGTACCTGATAGAGGCCTAGTCCATGAAAAAAAAAACATTAAATAGCAAGACAACATGAAAAAGGGAAGCTACACAGTCTTGCCAAAACAAAAGCTACAATAAAACAAACAAACACAAACACGACAGACAACAACAATCACCAACAACCGAACCAAAAGGGAAATAACCTGTTTAATGATTTTGTAATTTACCCTATGAAAAGCGATTAATCAGAACGAGTCGTTTCCCTTTGACGGCATCGATTTTCATTGACCATGAATAGGCAAATTTGATATTGCGTTATGTATGTAATTTTAATGTTTTAGTTTTTATAGAGCTCACTCTTTCTATACAAAATTTGGATTAAACGACTACATATGAATACAACTTATCATGCTTTGCGTAGGAAGCACCCCATTTTTCCTGATTTAGAACAAGTCTTAAATTGTCAAAAGAAAACAACTTGTGTTAAAGGTATGTAGAAAGAATGAAACTTGCCACAAGTCTTGAAGCCGGATTTAGAACAATATAATATTCAACTTTTAGTCAACAGTTACAAAACATTCAGCCCCAAGTAAATTAACGCATCATACATACCAGGATTGAAATTGTGTACGTAAAACGCGCTTTACGTCTACAAAAGATTGATTCATCAGAGACGATCGAATCAAAAAACAAACAAAAAAAAAATAAATAAAGAATAGAATTTAAGAGCATTGTGGACCCAAAATTCCTAAACGTTTTTACTAACAAATAGAGCTAAGGTAATATATTCCTGGGGTAGAAAATCCTTAGTACTTCGAAAAATCCAAAGCCCATGTAGAGTATTGAGGACCCGAAATTCCAAAAAAAATATTTCAAATACAACAAAGGAAAAATTGAGAATAGAAATGGGGAATGTGACAAAGAGACAACAAGCCGACCAAAATAGCAGAAAACTGGCAATGGGCACCAATCTATTCTTGGGGTAGAAAATACTCAGTATTTCGAAAACCAAAGTTTTCATGATCACGGAAACGAATTCAAAAAAAGAATTAAAAAATTCCTGAAACTTTTGCTGACAAAGTACCATTCATTTACTTGGTACATTTTGTATATTGTCATCCTTTTACAATTGGCAAAGTTCACGTCAAGCTGTCATTCCATCCGTTTATATATTCAAGTATAGTTTCTCTTTGATGAAATAACATTTTCTGAATTACAGCTATTGCGTTTACATAGTTCATATTGCATCTATTAAATACAAATTATGAAAACCGTCAAACATATTCCAATAAATCTAATAAAGAATGATCATGAGCTTGATATATATATATATAATATTTGGTAATTTTCTACTGAAATTACATTTTTTTTTTCAATTTAACGAAAATTAAACAGGCAACAAACTGCTACTAACTCGCTTTGTCAATTGGTAAATTGATGTTTTATGTATACCAAATAATCATTGAAGGCCACAACTGCATGCAAATATAAGCCTGTTCATTAGACTCTGTGCTTTCGACCAGTGTCATGGCTTACTCTTATTTGTACTTGCAGTTGCAACTACGATTGTTGTTTGCCCTAGTAGGGGAGTATACATTGTTGACGTATTATCACATCATAGTATTCAGAAAAACAATTAAACCTTATATGCATCGATAGATATAAGAAGAGAGTGCCAATGAGACAACTCTCCATCCAAGTCACAATTTGTAAAAGTAAACCATTATAGGGCAAAGTACGGCCTTCAACACGGAGCCTTGGCTCACACCAAACAGCAAGCTTCAAAGGGCCCCAAAAATTACTAATGTAAATCCATTCAAACAGGAAATTCAACGGTCCAATCTATCTAAAAAACGAGAAACGAGAAATGAACCATATCAACAAACGACAACCACTGAATATCAGGTTCCTGACTTAGGACAGGTGCAAACAAATGCAGCGGGTTTAAACGTTTGAATAGGCGCCAACCTTCACAC